GTGCTGGGGGATTGAACCACGGTCCCTGTGCTTTGCTAAGCTTGTTCTAAGTAGGTGCTTTAGACCACTGAGCCATCTCACCAGCCCCAAAGATGTGTTTCTTAATACAATGAAGTATTATTCAGCCATAAGAAAGGTAAACTGGAGACTTATAGGTAAATGGATGCAACCTGAATCCATACTTTCAAGTAAAATAAGTCAGACTCATGTAAACATCATACTGTCTCCTTGTGTGAGAAGCTGCAAAGAGTAAATAAGATATAAATGTCTATTCTGGAAATAATGTCATGTTAGCCTTCCAAAGTTTTTCTCCCATTTCAAAATGGTTTTAATGATTTCAAGTCTTTTGGATTTGCATAAAGAATCATCTTCAAGTGTCTCACCTTAAACTGTTCCTTGAAATTTTTAATTTCTCTGTAATGTTTTCTACTTTTCCATATATGTCTTGTAATATTTTTTCCTTACAAGTAGTGCTTTCTAGTTTTCTGTAAGGTCTTACAAATTTTATAAATCACTATTTTATATTTTACTACTCTTGTAACCAGTATGTTTTATTTTCATTCGTTACTGTGAAGTGGAAGTGTGAGAAGGGAATGAGAAAGGCCCTATCACACCTTCTTATATCATCAGTATTTTCACTGCTATAGAAACCCTCACTCACTCATACAATAGAACTTTAAAAGGGCGTACTTTCCAGGTGTTTCTAAAGCTGCCACAGAACAAAAGGTGAGCCTGGGTGGTGTGTCATACCTGCTGCTTGAAGTACCTTCTGTCTTCCTCGTCAACAAGCACTAGATTCAAAAAGTACCTTACTGAAAATTTTTTGTTCACGTCTCTCATTGTTGGTGTTGGGTCATATCCTGCTAAAAATAGTCGAATTGGAATGGATTCACCTGAAATAAGAACAATTTCCATTTAACTTTAAAGGATAAAAATATCTAAATCAAAAATGATTAAATATAGTCACATAAAACACAGGACTGAGCATTACAGACCAGACCACTTATCTTCAGTTCCTCGTGAGCTGAAACACTAATGAAGACCAACATTTTTCAGCTTTGGCACTAAAGAAATTTGAGGGCTGATAAAGTCTTTGTTGGGTGAAGTCTTACGCACTTTGTAGACCTCTGGCTTCTACCCCTTGAAGCTATTAACATTTGGTGTAAATCCAAAAATGTTCCCAGACAAATGTTTCTTTGGAAATAAAGCGCCAGAACACCTGGATCAGATCTCAACTCAACCCTCTAAGGGCTCTATCACCTTGACTTGTGCGATTAAACCATTCTGTTTTGGAGAGATAGACAGTAATAATACTCAGAGAATTTATAAGGACTGTGTGGGTTAAATATATAAAGAGCTTAAGAGAGCACAAGCAGTTAAGTGCTATATATACCTAGTTATATTACTTTCTGCTTATTATTTTTATAATTCCTAAGCATACCTACAAAGATTTGAAAATAACTAATTTATCCACAACAGAGATTAAACAGAATGATGTCTTCATTACCAAGAAGATTTGCTATTCAGATGCTCATGGCTTTTTTCCTAAGAAAGATATTTGCATATTCTTTTAATTACCTTTATGTAGTATTTTTCCATATGCACATCTGTTGCTGAAAGACATAAAAGCTATCCCTCAATATAAACTGACTGCTGGAGTTTTAAAAATAATATGCAATACAAAGTTACATATACAGTACATGGGCTGTGGAACTCAAGCCTGCATTTAAACCTCAACTTTGCCGAAATTAGCTATTACCTTTGGCAAGTTTTTTAATCTCTCTGTACTTCAATGCAGATTAGGACATAAGAACCTAATGAGAGACAAGTAGAGAGCTTTCAAGCACCTAAACTATAGGGCGTTGAATGTTTATAAATGACATTCAATAAAAAATAGCTACTTCTTGAAGTAATCATTACCAGAGTGAGAAAACTCTAAAAGACATATATTAAATGCTATGTATTGCCTCAGACACTGAAGATGAGGTAGTAAGGGAATCCTTTGGGAGGTGTCTGTGAGGGATCTAAAATAAAATACCACAGGAATTATTACTGAGTTCTATTGTATATTATGACCAGGATGAGAAAAAAGTTGTACAGAGATGAACTATTGTAACAGAAGACAATTAAAATACTACAAATTTAGAACCAGAGAAGAGAGAAGCAGAACTATCTCTTCAAATTTTGAATTGAAACTGAGCAAAACCTTAATCTTATTTCAAACTGTAGAATACTATATCAGTCTTTTTAGCAGCTGTACAAAAGATATCCTCAAAAATCATCACTGTAAAAGTTAAGATCTATGATGAATGTGTTCATTATGTATATTTAAAATGTACAAATAAAATCTGAAAAAAATAAGAATGGTTTTAAGAATTATAAATACTTTTGCCAACAACCATCAAAGAACAGTAGCTATCTATGGCCCTCCACTATCCCATGGCCGTGGGCCTCAACAAGAGTCACAAAGTGACTAAGAATGTGAGCAAACTGAGGCACAGCCCCTGTCACGGACGCCTCATCAAACACATCACGTTCGTACAGGACATGATCTGGGAGGTGTGCGGCTTCACCCCCTGTAAGCAAGTGGCACCATGGAGCTGTGCAAGGGCTCCAAGGACAAGCGCGCCCTCCGGTTTATTAATAAGAGGGTGGGAACACACATCCGCGCCCAGACGAAGTGTGAGCTGAGCAATGTGCTTGCCGCCACGAGGAAAGCAGCTGCCAAGAAGGACTGAGCCCTTCTGGAATAAAGCTTGCAGATAAAAAAAAAAAGAATTATACTTTCATAGGAATGAATATCTGCACACTAAACTGCAGTGGACACCTCATTACTCAACAGAAGTAAATGAAAAGTGAGTACCTTTTACTGGTGCACCATCCATTATTTCATATTTGGCAATAGTCTCTGTTTCAGTTGTAGTACTAGGTCCTAGTGTAAGAATAAAGGGTATTAATTTAAATATTTCCAGAATATGATTTCCAGCCTTCTACCTTTTTCCTGTTTTCAAACTTTATATATTATACAAGATATGTATTTTTATATATAAACTATATGTATTATATACATACACACGTGTGTGTATATATATAGAATATATTTATAATTGTGTGTTTGTGTGTGACCTGCTCAGCCCATCCTGGGGGCAGGGCTGGGACAGCATGTGGTGCCAGGGATTAAACCACAGTTCCTGTACATTTGCTTAAGCCTGCCAAAGAAGGTACTTTAGACCACTGAGCTTTTTTTTTTTTTTTTTTTTTTTTGGTGGAACCAGGGATTGAACTCAGGCCCTTGTGCAGGCAAGCGCTTATTCTACTGAGCCATCTCCCCAGCTCACTGAGCTATCTTGCCGGCCCTCAGACTATATTATGTTAACACTACTTTATTGTCCCATTTTATGAAAAACAATTTGGAGTAGTACTGGGGATTGAACTCCTTTTCTTTTTTTTTTTTTTTTTTTTTTTTTTTGCTGAACTGGGGATTGAACTCAGGCCCTTGCACTTGCCAGGGAAGCGCTTATTCTACTGAGCCATCTGCCTTCTCCCTCATTTTTTAAAGCTTTGCGACAGGGTCTTTTTTTCTTTTTAATGTATTTGGTACAGGATCTGCAAGGTCTATAGGGTCTCACTACATAGATTGAAGTTGTAGTGATTCTCCTGTTTTCAGCCTCCCAAGCACTAGAATTACAGGCGCATGCACCACCACGCCCAGTCTCAATCATCCTCTCAGCATGCACTAGGGGTTGGGCTGGTACAGCAGACTGGGATCAAATCCCAGCCACTGCATTCCACCTAAGCAGGTGCTTTAGTCCACTGAGCTATCTAGCTGGCCCTTGACAGGGTCCTTTTAAGGAGATAACTTGTGATCTTCCTGCTTTTGGCTCCTAGAGTTCTGGCATTACAAGATGTGTGCCACCATGCCATGCTTGGTTCTGGTCGTTCTTTCATATTTCTTGATTTAGAATTCCTACACTCATCACTCAATGTTTCATACTTCCTTTTTCCCAAAGGTAAAAATGCAGTTCAAAAACAATCTTGTCTATGGCCACATGACCCTGAACACATCTGATCGCATCTGATCTCTTAAGCCCAGCAGGGTTGGGCCTGGTTAGTACTACGCTAGGAGAAAAAATCTTTTTGGGGAAGGGAGTTTGAGACAAGGTCTCACTACATAACCCAGGCTGGCCTTGAACTCATAGCCATCCTCTTGCCTCAGCTTCCCCAGCACTGGGATTACAAGCATGGGCCACTATGCCAAGTTTTGGGGCTGGCACAGCGTGCTCCAAGTTCTGTGACTGGCAGGCCATGCAGTACTGGGGATCAGACTCCAGTCCTTGTGTTTACCAGGCAGGCACTTAGACTGCCGAGCTATCTCTTCAGCCCTAGAACTCAGGCATTTTAAAAATGAAGTCAGGCTAGGGAGATAGCTCAGTGTCGTAAGTTTGATCCCCAGCACCATAAAAAAAAACCAAAAAAAAAA